CAACCCCAAACCCAAACCCAAACCCAACCCCAACCCCAAACCCAAACCCAAACCCAAACCCAAACCCCAAACCCAAACCCAAACCCAAACCCAAACCCTGTCACAGATATATATTTGAGTGAATAAATTTATGGAAGTAATTAACAATTATTGAAAATAGATTTGGTTGTATCTATAATAAACAAAATATATATTTATTATTGTTAACTTCTGAAAAAAAGCCAGTTTGGAGTTAACTGTTTTTAGGATTAAATTATAATTCTAACTTTCAGACATCCTATTGAAAATAAATCAAATACTTTAATTTTTAATTCTATAAAGTTAAAAATATTTTATTTCTCTATTTAATTATTACTAGTGATTATTTTAGATTTGTTATTTACTCTATCGATTATTTAGAATGTTAATGGTTATAGGATAAAAGTCAATTTATAAAAAAGCATGTCCATCTGCACCTATTAATCTCTACTTTCAACTGGATTGCCAATTGTATTTTCAAGGATGTAGTTTAAAACAAATGGGGGATATGTTATAATTACCACATGTAGTTCTAAGAAATAATAATTTATGCGAAACTTGATATGTATATGGAATAATTTTAGGAGTTGAAGAGTGAGATGATAAAATTAATTTAACTTCTGATGAATATTATTAATGTGGAATATAATTAAGGATGCAATATTTGCTCTTAAAAATGTGTTTGGTTTGGTCTTATGATTGTGAGTTAAATCCTTATAGATTCTGCAATGAAAATTTAAAAGATGAAATTATTATTAGAAAAGAACAATGTGATGATATGAATGTTATAGAAGAAGAGGTCAATATTAGTTTTAGATTCTTATCTAGGCAATAATGCATTATACATGCAATTTACATATATGCCTTCTTTGCTAATATGGATTGAGTATAAATATATTTTCTTATCTATAAAGATATAAGATGATAATATTGCTCAACTAAATTTGCTATACTTTTTATTTACTGAAACTTTAATAAACTTATTCTCTTACAATGAATGGAACGCACTATTTAAATACGGAGTTTAATTTTTTTATTTCTCGAGAATAAAAAAATAAACCTTTGAAATTCTTTGGATCATAATTTTTACACACAGTTTTTTATGTATTTAATTAAAAATATATTTTATTTATAATGATATCCTTTTTTAAATAAATTATAGAAATCTTATGCATTTTGAATTTAACTTCATGAAAGTATTTAATATATATTAATTATATTTAAGTATAATATGATGTAATAGAAATAGATAATAAAATAAATATAAATATCAAAATGTATTGTACCTATCATGATTAGAATCCAATAACAGTAATTTGTGTAGCCAAACATAAGTGCTAAAGAAAATTAAGTTTATATTGTCAATATGAACATAATGTTGATCTCAAAGAATTACTTCCTATTAAAATATTTCAAGAAAAACTATAAAATTAATTGGATGAATCCCATTTGAATGATACTAAATAATTATAACAATCACGCACAAGTTTCAAATAAATGTTATGTTAAACTGAAATAATGATAAAGAAATTATGGTAGAGAACGAATGAATAGATAAAAATGATTTATGATGTAGTTGAAAGAGAGATTTAGTAAAAAGTTAATGTAATAAAAAATAATATTTCACCTTCAGAATAGTCATATAAATAATTAAATAAAATGGTACAAATTTTATAAGAAAACTTATTTAATAAATGGAATTAAAAAATAAAATCTTATATTAATTAGTTAGACAAAATAAATAATTAGTATAGAGCAGAAATCGAAAAATTTTGTTAATTAATCAATTAATAGTTTACAAATAATTTATGGGAAGAAAAAATTTAAGAATATGATGGTCTCATTAGGGTTGGCCAAAGATTAACAAAAACAAAGTTTGAAATTATTTATACAAAAGATAGAGAACTACATTATGTACACAATGGTGAAATTCTTCACATGTATTTTCTTATAATAATTAAGATTAAAAAATGATAATTAATTAACTCAACCAAAAATAATTACAAATTTAGAATTAATCAAGAATCTCAAATGGATTGGTGAATATGGAGAAAATAATTAAAAAAAAGGGTTATGGTAAGCTTAATTGAATGGTCAAAGGATATTAAGATTTGGTGGTGAGTATTCAGAAGATGGTAAAAAATAAGGAGAATGGAAGGAAATCTTAGAAATGTTTTTTGAGAAAAAAATTTTATTTTATTAACATTTATAGTTAAGCAATAGTTTTTGAAGTGGGAGAATATACACTTGATTTACGTAAAGGAACTTGGAAGTATGTCTATTAAGATAAGAATATGTATAAATAATATAGTTAGTAATTAGAGGCGGAGGTTAATATAACTATAATGGTTAAAAGAATGGATAATGGGTAGAGATAGATGAGTTATTTAGTGAGCCTAAAATTAGACATATTGGATCTTATAAAAATGGTAAAAAAATTGGTAGATGGGATATTTGTTGGTTTGAAAGTTATTAGAATTAATAGTAGTATTATTTAGGTTAAATAATTAAAGTAGTGGATCTTTAGATTAAGCTAGTTGTAAGAATTATTTGAAAAATTGGGTAGACATGAAGGATAATTACAATAATGATAAATCTTAAAATGGAAAAAAAGTTCCTTAATTTATGAATAATGGAATCGAATGGATTAAAAAAAATATAATGTAGTTTTAATTATATATATCCTTATATTAGTGGTGGTGGTTCATATGATGAAGTAGGCAATGGGCTTAAGTTAGGTAATTGGATAGAATTATGGGATAATTTCAAGGATAATTCTTAAATAACATACAAGGGCGAGTATAAAAATGGTAAAAAGGTTGGTAGATGGGATATTTGGTTTAACGATGGATAAAATAAAAAGAACATGTAAAGATTTATTATTTATCTCTATAATATTAGTGGTGGCGGATATTATGATGAATTACAACACGAACAGAAGATAGGAAATTGGATTGAAATATTAGATATTTCCAATTCTAAGGTCCCAATCTTGTTCGACGGTGTATATTAGAAAGGGAAAAAAGTTGGGAGATGGAATATAGGTTTTATGAGATCCTAATTTTATGAACGCTATGGAATACATTCATAAATAGATGATTATTCAAAGCATTTGATTTTAAATAATGAAAATAAAAACAGTAAAGATGTTATTCTGGATACAATGTAGTTTTAATAATTATACATATATTAGTGGTGGTGGATAGTATGATGAAACTGGTATTAAATCAGGCATTTGGATAGAATTATGGGATAATTACAATGATACTTCTTAAGTAACATACTAAGGCGGGTATAAAAATGGAAAAAAAGTTGGTAGATGGGATATTTAGTTTAACAATGGAAAAAAAAAAAAGATCATGTAATGATTTATTAATAATCTCAATGCATAATAGTGGTGGTGGATATTATGATGAATTAGATAATGGACTTAAGTCGGGTCAATGGATTGAAGTATGGGAAGGGTTTAAAGAAAATTCTTAAGTAACTTACATTGGTTAATATAAAAATGAGAAAAAAATTGGTGAATGGCATATTTGGTTTAATTCTGTTAATAGAGAAAACATGTACAAAATTTTAAATGATAATTTAGTGGTGGTGGATCATATGATGAAGCAGGTAATGGACTTAAATCTGGTATTTGGATTGAATTATGGGATAATTTCAAAGATACCTCTTCTATTAAATATAAGGGCGAGTATAAAAATGGTAAAAAGGTTGGTAGATGGGATATTTGGTTTAACTATGGAAAAAATTAAAAAATGTAATATATTATTATTTAGTTTAAATTTTCATCTTATTTTAGTGGCGGTGGGTAATATCATGATGCAGGTAATAGAGTTAAGTTGGGTAATTGGGTCGATGTATCGAATGATTTCAGTGATACTTTTTAAGTAATAAACAAAGGATGTTACAAAAAAGGTAAAAAGGTTGGTGAATGGATTAATTTTATGAGAAATGAGAACAATATGAATGAAGGATTGAATATTATATCAAAATCCTAATATTATTTTTGAGATAATATACACATAAACATAAATAAAAATAATTCATTTTATGGTGGTTATATAATGGAGAGTGTTGGTATATTTTTTTAATGAATAAGTTATGTTTTTTTTCAGTTTAATTTTGAACTTAATCGAGCAAAGTGTTTATGATTTGATATTTATAGAATTGTGCATATATGGCTTTTTTGATTTTCTATTTTAATTTCAATCTATTCTTTCGTTTTAAAATTATTTGTTGTTGATTTGGTCTACTTTTTATTTGATTAGTTCAATATTATGAAATTGGCTAGAATTCTATTGTTTTAATTATATATTTTTTGGATATAATAATAATTTAAAATGTTTTTACTTCATTAATAATCTTCTTTTTTTAAACATATTAATTCAACTTTTCAATATTTATATAAATGTTTCTTTTGGATTTATTCTTTTCTTACAAGGTAGTGCCACTAGCATTCTCTAACTTGTAAACTATCTGTTATTATTATTGATCTACTGACTAATGGGTATCTAATGCTTAAATTTGTGAGCAATTTTATATAAACTAGAAGACAACGTTAATTATTTTATAGAAATTTCTTGATCTCCTATAAAATTTTATATAAGGAATATAGGAAGTATTTTGTCTAATTTCTGTTTCAATCTCAGGAAAAGCTTACATATTTCTATTGATGAAAAATTTGATTCTTCTATATTAATTGAGAAAAATAAAGGCAAAGTATTGAAGATAAGTAAATTTTTTCCTTAATATTAGTATAATTGACAAATGAATTAAAAAATATTCATCCAAAATAGTTTTTTTTATTTAGTATTTATGATCATACTTATAATTTTTATATAAAAAAAGACTTTTTTTCACTTTTAATATGATAACTATTCATAAAGGCAGATTCTAGAGTTAAATTGTTTTGTTTAATTGATGAATTTTAATAAAAATACAGTTTCTAGTTATCTGTTCATTTAATATAAATTTTAGCAATAATTTACAATTACTGTAATGCATATAAGGAGAAAAAAAAGGAAATTTAGGAAGAGATTATTAAGTAAGAGGTCTAAATTAAAAAGAAACTAATTAACTCTATGGTTGATGATATCCTAACTAAAAATCCTTAAAAATAGTAAACAGATCTTTAAATTTTAGATTCTTTGTATGATGAAGAATTTACATATGTAATACTTGTGTATTACTTGTATATTCATAACTTTTTATTTAATATATCAACCAGTAATTTCTATTCAAATTAAATTACTAATTTTAACAAAATTTGAGTTACTCTTTTTTAGATTTTAAAAAAAAAGCATTTTAATTATTTTAATTGTTTTGTATCCATATATAAATCGATTATTTAAAAACTAAATTAATACTAATTGTATCAAATTTGTTGAACTCTAAAAAGTAATTGTAAAATAATAAATGATAATATTGATATAATATCATGTTGGATTTAACCAAAAAAAAAAGAAATATGAATAAATTTTGAAAGTATTATTTATCATCTTCAAACTTTGGTTAACTATATATCATAAATAAAAAATTATGTATTATTTAAATTTTAGAGATTTACTCCACGTATGTCAAAAGATTAGTAAGTAATTAAAATATGACAACAAGGATAAAATATCAAATAGACTATATTTTTTATGTTCAATTATAGCTTATTTCATAAAAAGTATTATTTCATGAAAAGTATTATTTCAAATAAAGAATATTAGATAATCTATAAATTTATGAAATTATTTGGATATTTAAATAATAATATCCTCTTTTTTTCATTAATTATGAAAACATCTGATTTAATAATTGAATAGAATTAAATAAAGACTTCATGGCTTTGGGATATCATTAATTCTATAAATAAAATGGAATTTATATCCTACCACAATTTAGAAATCAATTTTATTTTTTTATGATAGATCTTTTTTTCATTAAGCATTTCTTCAAATTTTAATTAAAACCTAACATCTTAAAGTAGAGAGGTCTTACAAGTTGAAATTCAATCTATAAAAAAAATTTTTCATCATCAAATTCCTCTTAAAACACATATCTAAGGCCTAAAAGTCTTTAGACAGCACAGGGTCATTGATTCATAAATGACCAAAAGATCATTAAGTCACAAAATAAGTACATTTTTCCAACTATATTTATGTCTTTCCTTATACCCAATTTCTAGAATATATAAAATTTTATGTGAGAAACTCAGGAAAAAGCTTTTCTTTTATTTATGTTGAACTCACTTTACTAAACTATCGCCTATTCAAACGTAAACTCTTACCATCTTTATGCCAATACTTCATGTTTTTACTTTATAATTTGTTTGGAAGTGTCCCATTGATATGATATTTAAATTATTATTTCCTCATAAGAGGTATTTTTTAGCCAACTTAAGTAAACCCTAATCAAAATTCTCTCCAAATACTTCCACCACTTCTCTAACATTTTAACTGAGTAATCAAAGTAAAGTTTAATATAAGTCATCATCGTTAAGTCAAATGCCTCATAGGTAAATTTTTTTCAATTTTTCAATTGATTATTAATAATAATTATGATCACCTAAATAAAAATTGGTTTTAATTTCAATTTCCTAGTTATACAATTCTGAAGAAATCATTATAAATTCACTTCACACATATTTAATTGAATAAATCTATGCTAATAAATAGAAGATCTATATATTAAAAGGGATCTTTAATTTATTTCAATCCCTAATCGTAAAACTTAATTACATAACTTCATATTTTTATTAAAATTTTGGATCAATTTTAGATAAAAAAATTTTAATTTACATTTTCATTAACATTGCATCTTATTTATATTAAAATTTCTATTCATATAACATTTGTTCTTCTGTACTATCAATTTAATTGATTATTATAACTACTATCTCTCTTAATAATAATAATATTAACTATTCTTTATAAAAAGTATATTAATTTCTTCTATTTTCCAGAAAATATCATACTTAACTCAAAAATATATCTATTATTATTATTTCAGCCGCTAAGTCATTTTTTTATATTTAATGTTTTCAAATTAATTCATATAGTAAGCTAATCCTGAAATGATGGTAGTTAGATACTTACCCATGTAAAAAGAGCTTAACTATATCCTCTAAGTCTTAATTTAAAGTGGTATCATAATTTACTCCTACTTCTATTCACTTTGAATGACATTACTTGTGTTCAGAAAGTCTTAACTACTCCCTTATTAGTCCTTCCTTTGCACCAAAATATTGTAACAACATTTAAATTATTTGAGACATGTAAATATTAGGTCTTTGGAACTATGGTAATCCAGATTATATATATATACTCGAATACTTGAACAGCCATTAAATAAATTTATTATTTAAAAACATTGTAATTTCAGCTAAGAAATCTCCTTAGTATAATTTAATTTATTTTTATTCATCATTTGAAATCTTCAGATTGTTCATAATTTAGTTACTTCTTTATTTTTATCAAAATTCAATATTTTGTCAACACTATATGAGAGCCCTTTACCAAGCAGCACATGAGGACAAAATTTTACTTATGCTATTTCTAAGAAAACTTCAATTTCAAACCAACAAAGAGAANCCTATATTATCAAAATGAGAATGAAACAAAAATCTATTTAGAAACTTGACAGAATCTAATTTAAAAGGATTAGAGGAAGTCTATACGACTATGTGTTATTACACTTGATAACAAAAAGCAAAAATAGATGGTCATAATGGAGCTGTCTTGTCAGTATGCTACTCTCACGAGAAAGTAACTAAGTATCTTGTAATGGTAGAGATGATAAGTCTATCCATTTATAGGATGTTAAGGCATGAGTCGTATCCTGAATAAACATAACTAATATGTCCATCTAATTTAGATTTTTGTTTTAAATGATGGTACTATATTATCATTTTGTTGTTAGAAATAAGTATATTCTATTATGTGATGCTAAGATAGTGTACTTTAGAGAATGTTCTATTCAATTTAATTTGATAAAATTAACCTTAATGTGACCAATAATTCCAATAACCAATAATGCATAAGAGGTTTTCATAATTTAGTTTTAATATTATCGAGATATATTTGTATATACATAATATCACTATTTTTTCAAAATTCCTATATAAAAATTGATGTACAAATTTATTAAGATTATAAAAAGATATCAAATTTGTATTATACAAAGAAATGTAAAGTCTTAATCCAAAAGTATATTTATTTTTAAATAGATTATTTCCATTAAGACTTGGATTTAATTTATTTAATATCATTATGAAGGGGAAAATTATTTATATATATTTATTATATCTATTAATCAAAAAAATATCAATTACTATTATTTTTAGAAAATAATTTTATAAAAATTAAAAGCAATGTTTTTAATATTAATTGTATATATACTTAGATTATTACATCAATAAAAATTGCCATTCTCTCAATATTTTTCTTATATGAAAAATAATTAGACTTATAAATTTTATGATAACTTAGAATCAAAGAAAAGTTTGATTACAGTGAAGGTATTAACCCTAAATATTTACGAAATGCGTTATTTATTATTTCAATTGACTTTAATTTAGTGGATTTAAATTATCTTCTGTAAGCTTCAATTCTTTTAATCAAGCTAACTTATATATACATAGAGCCTTATTTAAGCTCAGTAAAATAAATGAAATTATCCAAATTATACTAATTTATAGTAATGTAAAGAAATATGTTTAATTTATATATTTAATTTAGTTAAAAACTTATGAAATTTTGGTTTTAGAAATAATGAAGTTATTTCATTTTTATCTAATTTCTTTTATCTTAAATAAACACTAGCTTTTTTGTTGGAATTGAAAATGGTTAAGCAAGAATGAATTATTAAAATGTAAGAATATAACCCTATAAGAAGCATAAATAAAAATTTCAGAATTTAATAAAAAAATATATACAAATTCTTTATTAATTAATCTCAACAATAATCGCAAAATTATCATATCAGCTGATAATTAGTAATTTATCTTGCATCAAACTTATATTTATCTTTGATTTAGATTATTAACTAATAAACTTATGTCTCTTTTCTTTCATTTTTTTCTTTTTTAAAACATTGTGCATCTAAGTATTAAAGTAGTTTTTTAAAGAATAACATAAATTTAAGCAAATATTTCTTTAAAGTAGAAAGATCATGATGAAACTCATTTTTATAAACTAATCTATTTTTTTGAAATCTTAAATGAAGAATAGTTTGATGTCACAAACTTTTAGATCGATTATTTTCTTAAAGCGAACCTAAATTTAATTATTTGTAATGGTTTAAAGTCCTATATAGTTGATTTTTAGATGAGAACTGCTCTTTAATATGAAAATTGATTTCTTATATGATAATGTTTTGACCATAATATAATGAATCTTTCAAAATTTCAAATAGTTAAGAAATTAAGGGTAACAATAATTATTTTTTTTTGTATTAAATAAAAAGGAACTCCTTCAAGAGTTTAAATTTACTGATGGTTAAAAATAAAACTATAGAAGATTCGCAAAATTAATTAAGACTATAAGTATACTAATTTCACAGAAAAGAGCTTAGATTAGTCACAAGTTGCTACATGAGAAGCTTATTTATATTTAGAATTACTCATTTATCTACATTAAATTGATTCTTAGATGATCGAATAAAAGAGAGTATGATGAGAAGGATGGTTACTTTTTGTAAGAAAGAAATATGTTATGAGTTCTTTAATTGACAGAATCTTAATTGAATACTTTGAAATACTTACAAATTATTTATTAATAATTATTATTGCTCTAGGTATTTAAAGAACCTTGAGAGTAATTAATAGGTAGTGTAAGGGATGAATTTAGTTAAGAATTATTATCATAAAGTGAAACTGAATAGTTACAAATGAATCGTAAGTGATAATAATTGGATGGGGGATGTTAAAATAGAATTTTTAGTAACTTCTTATCTTTTTGTTTTGAATATTGAATAAAAATATTAAAGTCATCAATATAGAATAAATTACGATATATAAAATTTCTATAATCATTTTGATTTGATTTATGAAATTTGATTATTTTAAAAGCCATCCAAAAATTTATACTCCTTTCATTTAGGTAATTTTATTTTTTTAATTCATAAATTTATTCAAGATAAATAATAAATAATTCTCTACATCTAATGATAGGGAACATTTTATTTGTGATTGTAGAAAATGCTTCTAAGATATTTAAATATTCTCCATACCTCATATTAAGTGGCTATATTTAACATTAATTAAATTCTAGATTCAATAAAATATTTTTTATAACTTAATTCTTATTTTAAATCTCAATAATATTTAATACATATATTTTTATATTTTATGTAATTGATATTCATTTGTTGAATTGGCTTAATATTTCTACTTTAGATTTTTCATATAAATTAACACACGGATAAAGATCTTAAGATGTGTCTATGTTGAGTATCTTAGTATATAATATATAGTTTAATATTTACAAATTATTCATTTGTTGATTACTTAATCCATTTAATATATTTATTCTAAATATCAACTTCTATTATAATCATATCATTTGTGGTGAATTTAAATGATATATTTTTATTATCTTTATCTTATTAATCATGATTGAAGCAACTACCAGTATAATAAATAAAATATGTTCTATTATTAATATTATATAATAATAAGTACCCTTTTCCAATTCCATATGATTCATAATAATTATTCTTTTATATAATATCTCTAAAACCTATTCCTATCATTACATAACAATTATCTAATATTCTAAATGCAAATTTAACTAATCCATGTTTTGGAATCATTTGATCACAAATACAACAATACCAACCATTATCATCATTTGGAACAACAACTTTTCCATTTTAAGATATTTAACAATTATTATGTTTAAATGATGATGAAAATTTTAGTTATGAGGGAAATTAATCTAAGATTTACTATTATTACTACTACTACTACTAATAAAATTAATAATAACATACTATTTAAATCTATTAGAATTATTTCAATTCTTTTTCAGTTTATTATAATATTTAATTAAGTTTAGTAATTTCACTTTATTTATCATTTAATTATTAATTAAGATTATTAATTTGTAAATTATCTAAAAAATATAAAATAGTATAATTTACAATTATTACAATCTTCTTTTAATTTCTAATAATTCTTTAAAGTAGATTATTTTTCATCTTATAAAATCTAATTTTATTTGATTGAATCATTATATATTTATTATAATGAATTCAATTGTTATTCTAATTTAGAATGATTATTTAACAATTAAGTAATCTTTAAGGAATTTGAATCAATTTCTATTTATTTAGCCTTATATTGATCTTCTAATTAATCAATTGATAAAAGTCTTTTTATTTAAATAGTATCTTTTATAAACTTCTGAATAACTTCATCTAATTAAAAATTTGTTTCTATTATAGTTTCTTCACTTTATTCTTATTCCTTATTTTTAGAGTCACTTTAAGTTTATAAATCTTGAATATTTTGTATAATAGATTTATATAAATTCAAAGTTTAATTGAAAATGCTATGATAAACATTAAACTTTTAAATCTTCTTTAAGATTTCATTCTTAATTTTGGAATCTTCCATTTAATTAGTATTAATATTAGAATAATTCTAATCTGTAATCTTTAATATGTCTTCTCTTTTTAATAATTCATATTCAAATAAAGTAATAAGATTATTAATTATTAAATTATATCTAATTTAATCTTCTTATTCTGTATTAACTTATAAATCATTTAAAGCTTTGAATTTATCTTTTTTACTTAAAATTAAAGTAATTTCTTCAATCTATTCTTAATTAAATCCATAAATATCTGTTGAATTTAATTGATTATGTTATACTAATTAAATTGATTATTATTCATTATTCAATTTATCAATCATTTCATTTAAGATTTAATTATGTTATTCTCTAATTTCTTTAAGATTTTAAATTATCTTTTCTTATTAAAGTAATCTTGAATTCTAAAATGTTTTTATTTTATCTTAACTTTTTCCTTTAAACTCATCCCATTTTAGATTAGCATCTTATAATGAAGTGTATTTAATTGGATCATTAGAATGAATACAATCTACACATATCAATCTAGATATTTCATTTTATTCTAAATTAAACATTATAATCTCTTTTCCATGTTTATTGCATTTTATATTCAAACATGGTGTTTTCTAAAATATTAATATTAATAATTACTGATTTATCTACTTCTTATTCATTTTAAATACTCGATGCTTTTATCTCTTTTGATTATTCAATTTTCTTATTTTAGTATAAATTATTAATAACTTAGGTGTATGATTGATTACTTGTAAACGATTAAAACATGGACTAAATAGAATCATAGAATTGATTATCATCATCTAATTTATCTAATTCCAAAGGGATTTCATAATTAAAACTACCTTTATAATGTTTTGATAGAATTTCAACTTCATCTTCAAATTTATATATTTTAGACTTTGAATCATATTCTTCTAAATCTTATTCAATTGTCTATACTCTTGAATGAATGTTAATTAATATTTTATCAATTACATCTTCAATTTAAACTTTAAATTATTTTATCAGACATTCAATTTATTTCAAGTTTTCTATTCTTATTTAATTTTCCTTAATCTTTAATGTTTATTATTCACTTTTCATTTCTTTAATCATAATTTTTGTCTCATCCATCAAAGCCATATTTTAGATATCAATTTTCTCTATTAGACATTTTATACATAGATATTTATCTTCTTTAGCAGTTGATTACTTTAAATCAATTGTTGTTATCTCCAATTAATGTTTAGAACAAACCTTTCTCTCCTCTTTAAATGACATATTTTTTTAAATAAGATATTTAATTTTATATATTTAATCAAACGATATTTATAATTACTTTTATAATCTTAAAAATCTCATTCATATTAGCAACCATTTATGATATATAATTGAACATTAATTATATGTTGTTACTTAATATTACAAAATAAATAGTTAATCTAATCTTTAAGTAACATATTTTTATTTCTTAGGCCCTATTAAAATTATCTTTTATATTTTAGAAAATGAAATCTTTAAATTCATAAAACATTATTAATGATATAACTATTATTAAGATAAATTTATTGCTTAAAATTAAGGTGATAAAATGTTAGATTTTCTAAAAACATTTCAATTATTGCCAAAATTACATTAATTTCTTCATTAATTTGATGAAAAAATCATTATATTTCTTTTATGTTATTAAATTGGCTAAATTTAGTTTTAGATTTTAAAGGATTTGTAATACTTGGTGATATTGAAAAAAAAATTATTAAGCCTTAAGTATTTTTAATTATTCTGAAATCAAGTAATATAGAGAATTCCAGTTTAGCAATTTATTTTTAATTATAAAATATGAAAAAATTCTATAATTGAGTTTTCAAAAATAAATTTATTTATTTATTTGTATTTTATTTTGTTATTTTTAGTAATTTATGATCTCTTTGAATTTTTGCTCAATTTGGTTAATAATTAAATAAGTAATAAATATTAAAACATCAATTGTTTAATCCTATAAATAATTTGTTTCTTATCTATCCAATCGACTCTTAAATTGTATCAGTATTTGGACCAATTTTTAATATAGAAACCTTTTTTATTATTTTTCAATTTTTATTAAAATATTTAGCTAATGAATAAAGATAAATATAGTTTCAATTTATTTTTAAAGTTAAGATTAAAAGAAACTTATTAATCTGATTTTACAAAAGCTAGATTTTAATTCATAATCACATTTGATTACTAATTTCATTTATTTTAATCATCGTATATTTGAAAAAACTCAATAGATGTAATTCTGCTTTTAAATTCTTATATAATATTTGACTTTAATCATATTTAAAGAAAAGGCAATTAGTTATATTGCAGATATTTAAATATATTATTATTAAAGTAAACTTAATTTTGTTATATTGATTTAAAAATTTCTTTCAATTTTTAAAGTTAGCTATGCGAAGTTATTCTCTCAAAATTTTATAGATTAAAGAATAAATATTAGCGAAAATCTAAAATTTTTTAGTAATTATAATAATTTTAATAAAATGCATTTCCTTTCATGCTAATCTAAATAACATATTAAATTTTAGATTACATTATTACACTAAAAATAGATTTTTATTTTTTTTGAGAAAATAATAAAGGTTCTATTACTTGTTCAAATAATTTTTTTTAAATGGAAGTCCTAATATTTTAGTTATTGGATAATATAACTTATAAGAAACTCAAACTTATTACTAGGACTCAAATAAAGGAAATATATGTATAATTGATCATTCTGTTTAAAGATTAATATATCATTATTTTACATTTTAGAAATAACTATATTAAAAGACAATTTTCAAATGGATTTATAATTGGAAATTATAGAGGCAGCAAATTATTTAAGAAATCATCTTAATACAATATAATTCCAGCAGAATCACATTTAAATTGTACCTTTTATTAGAAAGATTTTGACACAGGAGTAATGTTGCTGTTTTATTTTGATTTAATATAATCATTACATTTGGTCAATTAGAATTTAATTTCTTTGAAAAAATCATGAAAAAAAATTTTAGATTGATAGGAACAATACATTATATCAAGTAAAGAATATAAGGTTTGAATATTATTATATATTTTATTACTAAAAGTAACAATTAGGTTTTTTTTATTTAAGCAATTAGAAATTACTAATATTATGACTTACTTTTGTTAATTAAAATTAAGAATATTCAGTTTAATATGAATGATATTTCAATTTAATTAAAAAACTAAGTTCTTTCTAATAATTAATTCTAGTTTTTGCTTTTGATTTGTTAAAAGTTTTCAGAATAACTAAATAAAAAGTAATCTATTTTCTTGTAAACCAAAGGGGATGTAAACCTGAGGTGTTAACCATTTTGTCATAATTTATCTCTTTTTTTCATTTCCTGTTATTTTTTAACTTATCATTATTTGGTTCTATATTGTCATATTCTGACAAGTTTATAGATCCATTTCGAAATTTGGAGTCAATATATTTAGCAACATATCACTCTTTCATGACAAAGTCCTTTTTCTAAGAGACCCACAGTTGACTATTTATTATTCATGGTTTCCTATATATTTGTCTTTTCATACAATCTTGCATAATTATTAACTTTCTAAAAGTATTCTTTCAAGATCCTTATTTAATTTTTACTAGCTGGATCTTCTCTAAGGATTCTTTAGTCATGTTATTTCTATTTCATAATTGTTGTAAACCAGATTTTATATCTTTTTAAATCTTTTGATATATCATTAAAAATAAATTTAATTAAATCTTAATTGAACTAAAAGTCTCAGTATAATACATTGCAATCATAATCTAAATATAAATAATTATTTTTACTTTTTTTTCCATCAATATAACTAATTGTCAAAGATTCAATTATTTAAATCCTAAATATTTAATCATCTTTAAGGTAATACATAAAATTTGATGAATTTTAATTTTAATTCATTAATTGCATCTAATATTTTTTAATTATTATATAATTATTTGATAATTACAAAAATATTATTTAGATTTGTAATCTCTTGCATATATTTTTGATGTAAACTTAAATAACATTAACTATGAAATAAATAAGCAATTTCTATTTTAAACCAATTATTATAATCTCGGTAATTAGAAGCAAATAATTTCTATAATTAAAGTTGATTAAATAATCAGAATGGCAAGTACTAAAAACACTTCTATTTGATAACTTATTCAATTCAAAAATTATTATCAAAAAGAAGGCTCCTTTTTGATAAAAATGATATAATTGCTATTATTATAAAATCACATTAATTTAGTTTCTTCAAATTTATGAATTGTCTTTACGATAATTTTTTCTGTTTTTAATTCAAAATATTGGAAAAATGAAAATCAAATGTCTAGAGATACTATCATTACTATAGGAGATTTATTGATCAAGATAATAAACAAATAGACAACTTTTTAGGGAATTAGTGTATTAAGTTTTTAAATTTGAAATATTAGTAGAAATAATTATTATCTGAAATTTTGAAAATTCAAACATATAAATATAATATAAAGTGGACATCATGATTTAAACATGTATATACAGTTATTTTTAATTTGGATCATTAATATTTAAGTAATATATCTGACTAATTTGATCTTTGATATTAAACATTGTTGTTAAGTGATATATTTTGTTTTAATATATTTTTTTTAGTTGTTTTTGAATCTTATAATTTTAATATAAATGTGATTTTTTAAAATTGTTTTTAACTTGACTGTTTTTAGCAAGAATATCCAGAATGCGCTAACTAGTCTCAACAATCAATTCACTATTCATTTTAATTATTATTAACATAATTAAATCAAATTTTCCATTTTCTATTAAAAATTAACAGTTGTTTTGAAAATTAAAAATTAGTTCATATTTGGTAAATTATATTTAATCATATATGATATACTTATTCTAAAGAAAATACATCAAAAAATTGAATCTTGAAAGATTTTTTAGTAAAGTTTTAGATGTTGAAAATAAATGATATTCAGAAAAAAAAAAAATAACAATTTATAGATGAAGATGACTTTCATAATAAAGAGAGAAATTCCAAACTAAAATCATTTGATAATTATGTCAAATAGTAAATGCAATAAATGTTGTGGAATAATTTACCATCAATTAGATATTTTATAAATGTATCATATTGATATAGGGGTTTTGAATTAAACTTAAAAGAGTAAAAAATTATACACTGATGTAAAGATAAATAGCATCAGTTCATTGTTATTTATCATATTTAGGTGAATAGCTTTATCAAATAAATAATGAGTACTAGTTTAATTTGAAGAATTTACTTTAAAAATTTAATCCAATTAACATTATTAATGCTTTAATTAATAGAAATGTGACTAATTTTTTTGATGTTTACATGCGTATAGCCTTAATATAAATTAACAATGTGAGATGGATTTAATGCATTATCTATATTAACTATTTTTGGATATCATTAGAGTTATAAATAAATTAGTATCCTTCAACAATTTGATAAATTTTATCTCATACCTTATCTAAAAATCGATGGTTTTTCCAACATCATAAAAAGTAAAAATCTTAAAAATATGTTTCTAGTATATCTTTTTTATTTTTTTTTAATTTAAACACATTTAAAATTTCTTATCTTATCTTATGTTATCTTTATTTACAACAATTATTTATTGAATAGGTTTCCAATATTAGTTTTAATTTTCGAGAAATATAAATATTAGAGCACTATTTTTGAATAGTTTGAAATCTAAATTCAACCTAATTAAATTGAGTACTTAATTCTGTTTTATTACAATATTAAAGTGATTCTAAAAGTAAAAATAAAGAAACTAAATTTTAAGCTTTACATAATATCTTTACAACTATAATTGATATTTGAATCAAAAATAAATGGTTTGTGTGAATGAATCAGAAATTATGTTGATATAGTTGGAGGAAAGCAAATACCAGAAATAAAACTTAGATATTCTGAGGATTTAAGCTATCTAGCTCTGAAGCCAAAACATCTTGGGGATGATATCAAATTATTATTTGGTAGTTGTAATTAAAATAAGGATGGGGTTTATTTATTTTTAGGATGAGAACTAATAAGTAATTGATGATTGAATAGTCAAAGTATGAATATTCTATTAAAAATATTATAAAGCATGCATATTTTAAGAGACTGTTAAGGATTATGTTAAATGTTTAAGTTGAAAGTTAATTAATTTTGTTTAAAGCCCTTATATACTAGTAATTGAAAAATAAGACAAAATATTTAGATTGAAGGTTGATTTAGGAATATAA